AAACACCTTGGTTCACAACATCAACAGGCATCTTCAGAAGCAATTGCTGCTGTTCTAATTACCATGGTTAAACATATACTGTTGATGTTGTGGCCTCTGTGAGATTAATTAGAACTTTGCTCTAATTCCCATGGTTTGAGATTCAAAAGAAAATTTGGTTACGTTTCTATTCCAAAAATTATATGATTAAGCCCCACTCTACACTAATTAAAACTCATTGATTACATAAAGAAAAAAATAAATAACAGAGAAAAAAATTACTAATATCAGTATATCACTAGCTGTCATTATGATATGCATGACTCTACAGGAAAAAATAACTGAGAAAACACACTGAACTTGAATTCTGAAAGATGAGAAAATGAAAGAGCTTTACGTACACAACTTGAAACTTGATCTCTACTGGAAGATAATATAAATGAAAGAGCACTAAGATATTGGCACGGCTCAATCAAAAGTACACCAGTAATGTCTATAGAAATCTATAACATTCTCTAGCTATTACAAATGCTTGTTTCTGATCGAACCGGACCAACATCATAGTAACCATTTCAAACCACTATTCTTCTGTCTACATAGTTTGGAGTTAGTGCAAGAACAACACTATGCAAAAACAGAGATTTAACATTTGAAGAAGAATAAGATGAAGAAAATATAGCAAAAGGATGTGAGAAGAGAGAGGGGAATGTCTGATTTTTAAATGAAGGATGAAGAGGTCTGTCTGCATTAGCATTTACACTTCTTGCCTACCTAACTACAGAGGCATTAATAATAAGAACAAACTTTTACTACTGACTCCCTATTTTCTCTTGACATATATTCACTTTCACTCCTACAACAGCTTTGGCTACCAAACCAAAGAAAACAGGTAACTGCATTAATAGAGACCTTCATCAAAATATCCTTTTTTTTTCTCTTTTCCTTGGTATGGCAATTGGCAAGTGAAAGATGATTACATTTATATACTACTACCACCTCTATTTCAATTTATAGCTTAAAATTTGGTCACAATCATATTGATTATTCTTGTTTCCATATGGACATAAGACTCACATATTGGTTTTGGTATTATAAATTAAGTGAAGCTCTCAAGCTAGTATATGTGATTTGAGACAAGTTTTATAGTGACTTGTAGAACTATTCATTATTCTCATGAAAATTTTACTGATCAAAGGGGAATTTCTCGTGAACTATGCTCCTCTGTAGAGATAGAGACCTTACCTGTGGTTGCAGTAAATGCATGCCTATATAGTGACTCATAGTGGAATCAAATTGGTTACAATTTACGAAACAAGCTCATTCATATGACTCTGCTATCATACTTAATTTATTGATGGAAGTTACTTACCGCAACTCATCGGAGAATCTATTCAATGCCTTTCCAATTCATGTCCCTTGCTCATAACTTTTTGGGTGTTAACAAAGAGTACAATGGTTACTTTGTAGCTGGGGTTCTGCAAAAACAAAAAGTCGTTGGATTTTTTACTGATTTTTTTAATGGCAATAACGTCACCCTTATTATGTTAGGACAGGATCAGAAGCCTAAAAATTTGACCGTTGCAATGGCAATGGCAACACCATCGCCTGCGACACACTTCCCTGCACCTAAGAATCACCAATGAACATGGTGATTTGCTTTAGTTTCTATGAGTCTTTTGTTGTTACACGCCATTGCATGATGGTCAGAATAGAAGGGTTGCGTTCAAGCAGCACAGATAATGAGCAGTGACCGTATATTAAGTGGCACATTCGCTATTGCACTTAACTACAAAATTATCGATAAGTACACATGAGTGTTTAAGGCCAAGTTTCGCAACTGCTGTTTTAATCTTTTATAATTTTGATGCAATATCTAACTATATGAAGGCGGTGGAACAATTTCTCCATACCTGATCATGGTTTTCTTAAACCAAAAGTGAAACCTTGCAGTAGGATATGGTACTGCGTTCCGTTAACACAAATCATTCTCTACCACTGTACGTCCACAATACAACAATGTATCTCGTCAGCACCAGTACAAGTGATCTTCCAAATAATTAGCATATGGATTCGATCAAGTCCAAATCCTTTATAATCTTATCAAAGCTTTTAGTTAGCGCATGAATCTCATCAGCAAGGGGATGGGACCTATCTGATGCAACAAAGACATTAACTTTGTCATGCAACTCAATCCAACTATAGCCAGGTTGCTTTCGGATGCCATTTCTTTCCATCGTCACCCTCATTTCCCTTGCATTGTCCCATCTCCCAGCGTCTGCATGCATGTTGTATAGCAACACATAAGGGTAAGAGCTATCAGGATCAAGCTTCATCAATGCCTTAGCTGCAATCCTGGCAAAGTCCATATTGTTATGAACCCGACAAGCACCCAACAGTGCACCCCAAACAGCCCTATCTGGCTCAACAGGCATGCTACTGATCAAAGTCATTGCCTCTTCAAGATGCCCATGACGGCCCAATATATCCACAAGGGAAGCAAAGTGCTCAACTTGTGGCTCAATCCCAAAATCTCGAACCATGGACCTGAATTGTATGCGACCTTCATCAACTAATCCAGCATGACCACATGCATGTAAAACTGATATAAATGTTATGTGTGTTGGTCTCACTTTCAGCCGTTCCATCTCCTTATAGAGCATAAGCGCCTCCATTGCATGACCCTGATATGCATACCCTCCAATTATGGCATTCCATGAAACCACGTCTCTATGCACTTTCATCTCATCAAAGACTGACCTCGCCGGTGTTATCAGCCCACATCTCGAATACATGGTCATGAGGGAATTATATATTGGTGTATCTGCTATAATTGTCTTGATAACCATTTGGTGTATCAACATTCCCTGGTACAGAGCAGAAAGCCCAGCACAGGCACTGAGAACTGACGGTAGTGTATGTTTATCAGGTTTCTCACCTTCCACTTGCATCTGACCGAACAGCTTAATTGCTTCTTCATAGTCTCCATATTGCTCGTATCCTGCTATCATTGAATTCCATGAAACCAGGTTTTTCTCTGGCATCTTATCGAACAAACCACGAGCAACTTCCACGTCTCCTTTTTGGGCATAACCAGAAATCATTGAATTCCATGAATGGGCATCAGGATCTGGCATGTTAAAAAAGAGATTTGAGGCTTCTTTCAAATCAGCTGCATGAGCATAACCATTTATCATAGTGTTCCATGAAATCACATCTTTTTCATTCATCTCATCGAAAATCTTACGTGCTGAAACAAGATCTCCTACTTTTACATAACACATTATCATTGAATTCCATGATACTACATTCCTCACAAACTGACTTCCTTGTTGTGGAATAACCGGAATGCGATCAAATAGGCCTCTAGCTTCATCAATTCTCCCAGCTGCGCCATACCCAGAAATCAAAGTGTTGTAAGCATGAACCAAATCTGTTCCACCAGCACATAAATTTCCACTTCTAAGCAAAATTTGGGCAGCTTTATCCGATTTCCCATTTTGAATAAGACCTGAAACAAGCGCACTAACTGACGTAGAGTCTCGTTCAGGCATTTTCTCAAACAAATCAATAGCCTTCAAAACATCACCATTCTGCAAAAAACCAGTAATCATTGCGTTCCACGACACCACATTCTTCTCTGGCAAGCTATCAAACAGACACAATGCATCATCCATCATCCCATTTCTAGCATACCCACTAATCACAGTATTCCAAGAAACCAAATCCCTTTTCGGCATTTGATCAAACAACAATCTCCCTTCTTCAATATACCTACGACTACCCAGACACGAAACATAACCCGATATCATCAAATTCCATGACACAATATCTCTTTGAGGCATTTCATCAAACAGTTTCCTGGCTTTTGAAATCTCTCTGTTTTTAACGTACCCACTTATCATGGAATTCCAAGTTACTGTGTTTCGGTGTTGTAGTGAATCAAACACTCTCTTTGCTTCATTCAATCGACCTGTTCGAATCAAATGAGAGATTTTCTTGTTCCATTGAATGAAGTCATAGTGTTGTGGTGGTGCTGAGCAGAAGTAATGGGAAGTTGCATACGGGGTTTTGTGACTGTTGATCTTGATCAGATAATGAGAAATCTGATAGTGGAGCCTTGATGATGTGAGTGTAAACTTGATAAAAAGCACCATTTTCTTTCGAATGGATGGTTAATTCCGACTCCGCCATGGAAGCGCCAGTGTACAATAACGAATAACGGTCATGTTTTCTGCAAAATTTATAGTGCCACAAGGTTAGGCCTAAAACCGAACGGGCCTAAAATTTAACTTGACCGAACGGGCCTAAAATTTAACATAGACCGTGTAGCTTAGTTTGTTAGTTGTATGTGGGTGTTTCATGTGTGGCCCATATGGGCCCAATTACAAGACATACAACCAATGTATGGGTGCACTTAACCCTAGAGGCAAAAATATAGTTTCACATCTAATTTATAGACATGGCGTGTTATGATTGGGCCCACACGCACCACACCGAAGAAGATACACAGATAAATTTTGTTGTCTGTATGTGGTTTTTTTTCTTTAAAATATAGAACCATCAGCGGTGAGGACCGACTTTAGGTGTGAGAGAGACGAGGATGAAAAAATAACAGGGAGAAGAGGGTTGGAGAAAAAGAGTTTTTTTTTTATTCAAAATGGGCGAACGAACTTGTTTTCCACTCTCACCCGATATTAAATGGACCTCCTAAAATTGGTTGATCAGAGTTGTGCAAGTTATTATCATTAATGAATAAAAATGAACATTTAATCAGTTTGGTTCGGTTTTTAATCAATATATGTGCATTAGATTGGTTTTCAGATTATATTGTTGGGTAGAACATTGGATCAGTTTGTAATATATATTAGTTCGATTTAAAATTGCAATAAATCGAAACCAATTTTTTCGACTTGGTTTCGGTTCCAAATCATCAGAACCATACACACTTTTATATTATTATTATTGTGAAGACTTGGATTTATTTATTGATAAATACAATGTATTTTTATGGCTTTCAAAAGTTACGCAACATACAAAATTGATTTGAAACTTACGTACCATTATCATGGAAGCCATGCAGGTTAAAAAATACTTCAACAAATCAAATACTTTCGAACGAGGTTTTGGTACACCTAGATCGAGTCTAATTGCACTAAGCCACTAACATTATCAGAAATATCTTGTAATATAGTTGATTTTTTCCACAACGTTTTGAGGTTTTTGCAAATCTAACAACGAAGTTCAAAACTAACAACCAACTATTTTTTGGTGTCGGATTCCGGCCAATGAAGATGATGTGGCAAACATAATGCTGACATGTCAGCC